TGTTCGTGTGAGAGGGATATAGAGACAACTAGAGAGAAAACCAACCCTTCAGAAGAGGAAAGGAAAACAATCTATGGCGGGGTAGGAGAAAGCGAGAGATGTAGGAGGAAAGACAAATGCGCGGGACCCTACGGATAGAGAGAGAGAGAGAGAGAGAGAGAGAGAGAGAGAGAGAGAGAGAGAGAGAGAGAGAGAGAGAGGTGAGAGAGGGAGCGAGAGAGAGAGAGAGAGAGAGAGAGAGAGAGAGAGAGAGAGAGAGAGAGAGAGAGAGGAGGGGGGAGAGAGAGAGAGAGAAAGAACTACTGTGAGAGAAAGCGAAGCTTTGAGCTTGTGTGCTTTATGGTGGTAAGAAGAGCATGCACTTTTTAAAAAATAATATTGTCTTTGATTGAACTACTGCAGGTTTAGTATGTACAACAGTCCATATTATATGCGGGCCCATCCAACTGCGACGAAGTTTTCACATAATTTAAGGCCTCAAAGTTTGCGCTACCTTCACGATACGTATAATCTCGTAGAACAAAAGAGCCCCCCAAAAGTCTCTCCTTCGTTTTCGCAGTGAGCGCCTCACCATCGGATTTGAATAATAAAGTTTCACGAGGTTTATCTATTCATAGCAGCAGACCGAAGTCGCATTTATTATGAGCGTTTATTGCGGCTTTGTGGGAGGGGTTCCTCGCAATAAACCGGGCCACGGCTGTTTCGGATCGTAAAGACGCGGCTTTCCTTGAGGCGCGGGCCGGTCCCCGAGTTGCCGTCTACGAATTATATAGACGCCTTTGCAGTGGCGATAAACTCTGTTACTATGTCCCACGGGATCTTGGGAATATAAAGGGGGGTCTGGACAGTAGCTCTAAACCAGAGCGACGTTTTAATACCAGGAAATAATAATAAGAAAAACAAAAAGGAAAAAGAAAAGCAACAAACATATTCAAAATAAAAACAGATGTATCACCACAAAACTTAATACGTTCAACTGGACATTCCCATAAGGTGCGCAATAACAAGAACAGCAACTATAATAACAATAATGATAGTAATAGTAATAACAATAAAACATAATATTTGTATTATTTGAACAACGCATTCCTATTGACAATGATACAAAGAACATAACTTCAATAGGGATCTTTTCACCCCCCCCCCCTCCTCTTTCTCTCTCATTCACTCTCTCTCTCTCTCTCTCTCTCTCTCTCTCTCTCTCTCTCTCTCTCTCTCTCTCTCTCTCTCTCTCTCTCTCTCTAACTTTCTTTCTTCACTCTCCGTCTTTCTCTTTTACTATCTCTCTTTCTCTTCACACTCTCTCACTTTATGTTAGCGGGTCCAAAATCAACCAAATTCACGACAGCAGAGTTGTTCAGTGTCGCGAGAAGTTACCTTCAAAATAGTTGAAATATCTAAATGATACTTATAGTAAAAATCTGTTTTTACAAGCAGCAGCGGTTTAAATTTTAAAATGACTTGATTCACGTCTTTTAGTAAAGACCAATAGCGGCTTTCCTTGAGGCGGGCCGGTCCCCGAGCTGCCGTCCACGAATTACGAATTATATAGACGCCTTTCCAGTGGTGATAAACTCTGTTACTATGTCCCACGGGATCATGGGAATATTAAGGGAGGTCTGGACAGTAAATCGAAGTGATGTTTTAACACCAGGAAATAAGAAGAAGAAGGGGGGAAAGCAGAAATAAAGAAAAGCAACAAACATGTTTCAAAATAAAAACAGATTTATCACCACAAAACTTAATACGCTCAACAACTGGGTATTCCCATAAGGTGCACGATAACAAGAACAGCAATGACATTATTATTATCAATATTATTAATATTATTATTATTATTATTATTATTATTATTATTATTATTATTATTATTATTATTATTATTATTATTATTATTAAGGTTATTATCATTTTTTAATTCATTATTGTCATTATCATTATTATATTATTATTTTTATTATTATAATAAAACATTTATTTTTTATTTATATAACGCACTTCTGTTTACAATGATACTACGAACATAGCTTCACTAGTGATCTTTTCACCCCCTCCACCCCCCTTTCTCTCTCTCTCTCTCTCTCTCTCTCTCTCTCTCTCTCTCTCTCTCTCTCTCTCTCTCTCTCTCTCTACCTCTCTTTCTTTCTCTCTCCCTCTTTCTCTCTTCCCCCTCCCCCCTCTCTCTCTTCTCTCTCGGTCTCATCGTCTTTCTCTGTCACTATCTCTTTCTCTTCATACTCCCCCAATCTATGTTAACCAAATTCCCTACAGTTAAGTTGTTCCGCGTCGCGAGAAGTTACCTTCGAAATAGTTGAAGTATCTAAAAGATACTTATAGTAAAAATCTGATTTTTACAAGCAGCTGTTTAAATTTTAAAATGACTTGATTCACGTCTTTTAGTAAAGACCAATAGCGGCTTTCCTTGAGGCGGGCCGGTCCCCGAGTTGCCGTCCCCGAATTATAAAGACGCCTTTGCAGTGGCGATAAATTCTGTTACTATGTCCCACGGGATCATGGAAATATATAGGGGGGTCTGGACAGTAGCTCTAAACCGGAGCGACGTTTTAATACCAGGAAATAATAATAAGAAAAACGAAAAGGAAAAAGAAAAGCAACAAACATATTCAAAATAAAAACAGATGTATCACCACAAAACTTAATACGTTCAACTGGACATTCCCATAAGGTGCGCAATAACAAGAACAGCAATGATAATAAATTAATAACGATAACAAAACATTATATTTATATTTTTTATACTACGCATTTCTATAAAAAATGATACAGAGAACATAACTTCAATAGTGATCTTTTCATGCCCCCTCCCTCCTCCTCTCTCTCTCTCTCTCTCTCTCTCTCTCTCTCTCTCTCTCTCTCTCTCTCTCTCTCTCTCTCTCTCTCTCTCTCTCTCTCCCTCTCTCTCTCTCTCTCTCTCTCTCTCTCTCTTTCTTTCTCTTTCTCTATCTCTTTCTCTCCCTCTCTCTCTATCTCTCTCTCTATCTATCTATCTCTATCTTCTCCCCCCCCCTTTCTCTCTTTCCCTCTCTCTTTAATATCGTTCTCTTTCACTATCTCTCTTTCTCTTCTCGCTCCCTCACTTAGGTAGGCGGGTTCAAAATCTACCAAATTCACGAAAGCTGGGTTGTTCAGCATCACAAGAAATTACCTTCGAAATGACTGAAGTACGGTATCTAAAAGATATAGTATACAATTTAGTTCTATAAGTAGCTATTTACATTTTAAAATACTATTTTTAAAGTAATGATAGCCAAAAACTTAACGTAATGACTGTATCAATTGATGGGTTTTAAAAAAAATATTGTTTTTAAAAAACCAATTCCACCCCGGTTTATTAATTGGAAAACAACACGCTTTCTTTCCTTCTTTCTTTCTTTCTTTCTTTCTTTCTTTCTTTCTTTCTTTCTTTCTTTCTTTCTTTCTTTCTTTCTTTCTTTCTTTCTTTCTTTCTTTCTTTCTTACTCGCTGTCTTTCTTGTTTTACTGTCTGTGGTGCAGGGGTTAGGTGCTTCACCGTTGCACACAAATGAAGTGAGGTCGATTACTGTGAGGGGAAAATATTTATTGAGTATCTCCGCCTTTCTGCTAGAATGTTGTATCTCTCTCAGTCCGGATTGACGTTTACAATCAAAGTCAAAAGAAACCCGCCTACTAAATAATTTAAATTGTGTTAATGAGGTGTAAATCGCCTTTCTTTACCCTATCCGTACGTCGTGTTTTACTATCGTATCCATACGGCGTGGGGAACTCCGTGCCACCACTTTCCAAAGGGGAAATTTACTCGTTAATCAATCCGTACCCTTTGCATAGCAGTCTGTGAAAATGTTTTTTGAGAAATACAGAAAGTTTTAAAGAGATCTTTGTACTAGAAGTATTCTAAAATGTGAAAAATACTACCCTGTGAGTACAAAATGACCCCTGGGCGTACGGATAGGGTTAAAAAGTTAGTCATTGCCTTACTTAGCACAATAGTTACAAAGTCGTAGTAATACTTAAATTGTGACAAGTATGGCACTCATTTGTCATATCATTTTCTAATACAGCAGCAACAACAACAACTACAACTGCAACAACAGTAACAACATCAACAACAACAACAACAACAACAACAGAATAACTCTTTTCTCTCTTTCAGAAACTATGAAGCCATCGTTCAGTGCCTGTCTAGTGAAGTCGGTGAAAGGTCGGAAAGCAATCCATTGGACTTCTTCATTAGCCTGAACTTTAACCCAGAAAACCTGAGAAGCAAGAGCAAATCTGTGTGTGCTAAGCTACAAGGTAGTGAAATAATGGCCCGTTGTTTGATGGTCGAATTAACTAATTTAATAATCTTGTGCATGCTAATGCTACGCTTTTTGGAGCCATAAAGTGAGGTTTCTTGATTGATTCTCTCACAAAGCAGTTATTTCGTCTTTGATGTTAAGATTGTCGCCGCTATGGTTCATGTTTGTTAGTATTGTCACTGGCACTGCTCTAGCTGTTGCTGTTGCTGTTACCGTTTCTGCTGCTGTCATTGTTGCTGCTTCTGTTGTTTGGATTTGTTGTTGTTGTTGTTGTTGTTGTTGTTGTTGTTGTTGTTGTTGTTGTTGTTGTTGTCGTTGTTGTTGTTGTTGTTGTTGTTGTTGTTGTTGTTGTTGTTGTTGTTGTTGTTGTTCTTCTTCTTCTTCTTCTTCTTCTTC